AATACACCCGTTTTGTACATATTGAAATTGTTAAGAGAATAAAGTGGAATATTTAGAATAAGGCATTTAATCAAAGTTGTTAATTAAATGGTTCACTTACAAAATTTGCAAGATGATTTCATTTAGGGAATGACCATTTAACTCTGATGGGGAGAGGTAATGTTTTTTTTCGCTAAAACTATTCTGATTCACAATTTTGAAGAAATAAATAAATTGACCAGGGAAAAAGAAAAAAAAGTATTTTCTGAATGAGAGTTATTTTCATCAAATTTTATATTAATTTCTGAAAAAATGTAAAGCAACAGAAACAATTAATAATATGACGCTTGCGTGGTTTCGATAAAAAGTGTCAGAACGAATAAAAAAATCGTAAGTGGTTCCGCAGAACCCTGTGTCTCGCCCGCGATTGCTGCTGGCAGTGTAAAAGTGTAATTTTGACTTAAAAAGTGAGTCCATTTATCACAGATGATATCGGATATGTTCCTTATGTCGTAACTACAATACCCTTCCCTTTTCACGAATGTGACCTACCGAATTAGACTATTTACCGGATTTGTAATAACATAAGCAACACGACGGGTGCCACATGTGGAGCAGGATCTGCTTACCCTTCCGGAGCACCTGAGATCACCCCCAGTTTTTGTCGGGGTTCGTGTTGCTTAGTCTTTAGTTTTCTATGTTTTGTCATCTGTACTATTATTTGTCTGTTTGTCTTTTTATTTTTGGCCATGGCGTTGTCAGTTTGTTTTCGATTTATGAGTTTGACTGTCCCTCTGGTATCTTTCGTCCCTCTTTTATCAGTAAAATACAGAATTTAAAAAAAAGTAAATTCAAACTTTATCTTTAGATGCTATTTCATGGTCTTGAATATTAGCTTCTGTCCAAGTTTCATAACAATCCATGAAGGTTAACAAATGAATCATGTCAAAAATATTTAATCCCAGACTGTGTCAATTTTAACTGTAAAAAACTACGTCCATCTATCAGAAAAATACTGAAAATGAAAAAAAAAACAATATATTTTCAAAAGTTTGCATCAGACATTATCTCTTAATCATGTTAATCATAAAAAACTTCTGCCAAAGTTTCATAAAACTCTGTGAAGGTTTACCAAAGTAATTTATAACAAACTTTAACCCCAGACTGTATCTACTTAAAAGATGTAAAAAAAAACTATTTTCACTTATCAGTTAAATAGGGAAAAATGAAAATAAATATTTGAAAAAAATTGTTTTGGATACTGTCTGTTGGTCATAAACAAGCTTCTGTCCAGGTTTTATAAACATTCCATGGAGGTTTGAAGAAGTTATTGATGACTGAAAAGCTTTAACCTCAGACTTAATATGAATGTTAACTGTAAAAAAACTAAGTCAACTTATCAGTTAAATACGGAAAAATGAAAATAAATATTTTAAAAATTTTGCTCTGGATACTGCTTTTTGGTCATAAACAAGCTTCTGTCTAAATTTCCTAAAATTCCATGGAGGTTTGACAAAAGTTATTGATATCTTAAAAACTTTAACCACAGACTGAACCTAAATGTTGACATCGTCGCCGACGACGCCGACGACAGAATCTAGGATCGTTTTGTCTCGCTTTTTGGGGGGAATTCAACATTACTCTTTTACACGGACAACATCAGTCTCAGACAAGACCATTAATATTTTTTTTATATTTCTGAGAAATCTATTAATATTATCTAAAAATAGGGGAGGGCTACATTTACTGCCATCAACAATTGAAGCAATTTCATGCTTAAATGCTCAAAATATTCACAAGGCAGCACAATTAAATACCACCTTTTTTATTTTTTTGTCATTTATAATGAACAAATTAGTGTCAGAATGGCACATATAAATGGAAGATTTTGGCTTATTGAGTTCAAGATGTTTGATTGTTTATCTGTATGGCAATCTGGATTTTTGTGAAAATGGACAATTTTTTAATAAAAATATTTGTTTAAAGAAAAAAAACCAAAAAAAATACAGGACTTTCTTTTTATTTCATGAATATATAATACATTGTCTTTCAAATTTTGTCAGTGACATGTTATAGTATTGTTGGTCTTGGGAGATAAACAGAAATAAAAATTGGCGATTTTTGAAATTTTTTATCTTAAAATTTTAACGTATTTTTAAATGGTTGCTATAGAAACTAACTATAACGTAAATGTAAAATTTTAACGTTTTTGAATAGTGTGGGTCTTTTATTGTCAACAACGTAACAGTACTTATTGTTTTTATTGATTAACTTTATTTCCATGGTACTTTCAATTTTCAAAGGCTACTTTTTGCACGTAAATAGGCAACATTTTGTTTTGATTGTTTCCATGGCAACAAAGGTCAAAAGAAAAAAATAACTAGTATATGAAACTTAATTTCATACCATACCTTCTTCAAAAACAAAATATAAAGACATTTGAAGAGGGGTCATGAATCGTCAATCAACAGGAACTTGCATGATTTACAAAGACAGGTACTTAAGTATCTTTATTTTAAAACTATTTACATATAGTAAACAAAATAACTCATCCAGAATAACCGATTATATGCAAAGTGCATTGATAGAAAATAAGAAAGTAAATGAAATATATTTTTGAATAATACATTAAATATATTTTTACTCATATCAGGATACCCTGGCATTTGTTTATACATTTATTAATGCCAAGTCATATGTATATAATTTTTTTATATAAATTTTTATTTTTTTCTTACATATCTGTGTTCAATACATTAAACATACATTGAACAATAGCAAGGTGTGTATGATGCACACAGTTCTGTACCAGTGTATTGTACAGTGTCTCATTTTAAAAATTATGTTTTGTGTGATGCAATTTAACAGAAATAAACAAAAAAGGAGAACAAAATACGTTATGTACGCACTTGTAAAAAGAAATGTACAACAACAAAATTTGAAAAAGAAAGGGTATCAAATCTAAACAGTTCAGCTTGCTGAAGTTGGATAGCCGATATTACTGTAATGTAAATCGGTCACAAACTTTCCGATGGAACGTTCAATTTATTAAGAAGCACAAACATGCACATATGATAACCAACTGTTAGATAAATGGGTAATTAAAAGTATTGAGTTGAAACTTAAAGACCAATTTATACAGAATTGCTTAAGCGAAATTAACACTACTCCTAAATGCTTATGTTATAGAATTTTTAAAACTGATATTAAATTGGAAAGTTATGTTTCCAAATTGTCAATATATAATCAATTTTTATTGTGTAAATTTAGATGTGGAAGTCACCGATTACCAATCGAGACGGGAAGGTGGAATAACATATCAAGAAATGATAGGTTGTGTCATCTTTGCGAATCAAGAGACATAGGTGATGAATATCATTATGTTATGACATGTAATGCTCTAACTCAAGAAAGAAAGAGGTTGTTACCACACTATTGTACTTTTTGTCCAAATGTATATAAATATCAACAATTAATGAGCTCTAGTAACTATATTGTTCTTGAAAAACTATGTAGATTTATAAAAATTATAAATGTGAGGGTCACTCCTCCTGGTTAGTTTGTAATTTAATGTTTATGTCTGTATTGTTCACATGTGCTTTAATATTTAATGTAATTGTTTATACATATATATTCTCTGTAACTATGTAATTTGTAGTTAATGAGAAATAAAATTCATTCATTCATAATAATTATACAGTTTGAATAATTGTGCCTCTTTTGTCAAGTTCCATAGAGCTTCGTTCTAACTGATCAGTAAATGTGTCTTCGTCGAGGTCCGCGTTTGTCACATGTAAACATTGCGGAGTCCGTTTCATATACGAATTTTAAATATATATATGTATCTGTCAGATCCGTGCATGTAATTAAAGGACAGATTGATTGCTGACTGCTGTCATGGTAACTCTCACATAAAATCCGTCAGATACGTCAAATAAGCTATGAGTCATCGATCACAGACAATTCACCGATCAGTCAAACATCCGTCACCGATCATTCACCGATCAGTCAAGTTTACGTCAAACAGTAACGCCCAAGATGCAAGTACTGTATATATGAGCCGGCTTGACTTTTCCAGGCTTTTGGAAATATTACGTCATCGTAAGAAAAACGCCGTTAACTATGACTGTTATTTAAATTTTGTTTTGGGATTTTCAAAAGTGTCTCATTACAGATTTGATAGCTTTGATATTTTCAGCAGCTTCAGATACGACACATAATTTCAAGCTTTCAGCTTAAAATGGAGAACTAAACGGATACGTGCAGAAGGAACATATGCGCTGATTATGTTTAACGATTGAACATTACAAAATTCATTTAAATTTTGTATCTTTAGAGATGCATCTTGGTTATTCCCTCTTCAACGTGATTTTTAATTGTCTTAATATTCTTTTAACTTTCAAAGTATGAGCAATATAAAAACAACTATAGAATAAATAAAAAAGAAATACAGAATAATTAAAACGAATCAGCATCTTTAAGAAAAGAAACAATTGTAACTTCCCTATATTCACGTCCATTTAAATGATACAAATTCGTATATAAAGAGATATAAATGACTAAAAGTCACATTTTGATCATTTTAAGTTTCCTTTTAAATAATTTGAGGTAAGTATCTTGGATGTCGAATTAATTTGTGCACACTGTACACAGACCGTGGTTCTAGGTGACAAATGTATCGTTACTTCAAAATCTCTTGTATCCATAAGTTTAAAAGGCCTAATCAGATGATAAGCTATAAAATATGCCGACACGACAGTACGTAAAACAATTCAAAAGGCCAAGTTTATGATAAAATCAATAAACATAATACAAATATAACTGACAGCAAGCAACGACAATAACTTAATTACAGATTTCTGACTTTGAACATGCACTACGAGAATATAACGGGATTACACATGTTTTGGGGGCTCAATCCTACCCTAATCTGAGGCAAAGGTGTAACAGTATAAGAACAGACTGTTAAATTCAGTTAAAATGGGCTTAACGTCTAAATATATATAAAACTTTGAACTTACCTAAAATGAAATTAAATACAAAACTCTCTTGGTTTGATGAACATTGAATTGTGGTTTCAATCATTACTTGTGTTGCTCTTATACGCAAACTGTCAAGGTTACACGCTTTATATCAAAAGAAATGTTGTTTCATGTGAGACTATCTACTAAAAATGTTTCATGGCTCATAAACTCATAAACACGTACAAATTTGAAATTATCACGTGAAAATTTTCTCCAAAACAATCTATGTTTACAAGATAATTCCTATTATAATGCAAATGGTCGAGAATCATATTACACTTACTATTTTTAATCAGTTTTTACCAGATTTTTAAAAAAAAATTAAAAAGAATAAGTTCACTGAAATTGCAAAATGGGTGATACTGAGAAGTATTGATAATGCCTCAAATATAGTAAGTCTTTATTTTTATGTTTTTATCTTAATTGTAAAGACAAATGGAGTCAGCATTAGCATTAAATAAAAGGGTTTGATATTGGTGTGAATACCACGTGTTCCGTTGATAGGTGTAATCAAGTACATTTATTCTAATTGTTTGATGCATACTTTTAAATATACTACTGTAAGGTTATATTTGATTTGCACATAATCATGACAGCTCTTGGGTAAAAATCTGAATAGAATTTTAAATCAATCGGATATATAGCATGCCTTTGAGAATTCGTATAGTGCGTGAAACATCAAAGAAGAGACACTTAACTTGTCAATGCACCCGGTCTAGTTCTTCGATTTTATACGTTTTTTCTCAGTTTGGTATGATTCTTGGACTTGTTCCTTCTTTCTTCCTTCATTTTGTCATCGAGCCTCACTAACGACACTAATGTTCAAAATACGCATCTGATAAAGTAACATGCGTATCGTTAATGTTAATTCACTAGGGCTTCACTAGCACAACAGGCAGTGCTCCAGTATATATGCTGATCTGAAATTTCACCCAATTTCTCTACATCTGCTGTTGATAAAACGTTAAAATCATTAACACTCTAGACGTTTTACCTCAGAAAATGATGAAATTATCCATAATTGACACGATTTATCTTCAATATCGTTTTAATTTTATTAAAACCATTGCATTTTCATTTACAAGTAAACGATGCTTACAAAAAAAAAAAAGAAATAAGAAAGAAACAAAATTACAATCGAGAGGACTAAAGTTTTTGATAAAATGAAAAAAAAGTTCTTATCACATATTTGGTCGTTCCGCCTTTTCTTGAAAGATCTTTGATTTTGTTTTCTTCCGCCACTTTTTGATGTGAGGATATTTTCCGTAAATAACCTTTTGATTTTGTTCTTATTAATTTTAGGTCCTACCTTTTTCCTTCAGAAAGATTTTGTTCTGATTATTTAGTCGTTCCACTTCCCATTCTGATATTTATTTTCTTCCACCACTTTTTGATCTGAGGGTTTTATTATTGTTTCGCAAAATATCGAAAAGAATTTTGACACATGATATCGAACAGTGATATGTTTCCGCAGTTGACCTTGTGTAACCGTACACTGTTTCATGTAAGTGTTATCTTTCAATACACTGTTTTTCTTGTTATCGCAACACCTTTGCAACCGTTGAAGAAATCGACAATTTAATTTCCAAATTGCTAGTTATATCCCCAAAATTTATTTTTCGATTTTGATCGAATCGATCTGGAGACTCATTCTAAATTTTGAAGTTTGCTTGTTATTACTAACCGTCAGAAACCGTCGGAGTTATCGACATAAGAAAATTGTTAGGCCATATCAAAACTTAGATACATTTGGGTCCTAGTGCTTAAATGACTTTAATTTCTCCACTTAGATATTCGAAATGAGCTGTTTGGCAATATACATCTTATTCCTTAAATCATAAAGATCAAGAGTCTTGTGATTTAAGATCCATAACCGAAGACCTTGAATCTGAGGTTAAGGTAAAAGGTATTTTTGACGTTTTTTGACTTTTTACCTTATTTTTAACTTCATACTGGTATATAATAAAGCCATACGTTTGTGGTATTGGATTGAAAAACGGTTCCCGGAAGTGACCTTATGCAAACCGGAAGTAGCTATTTATGCACTTACTTAAATCTTAAGTACTTAGAAACCATATATTTTTTCGCAACAGTGTAAAATATTAAACCGAAAGTGGTATTTTTAACTGGAAGTAGCGAATTATCTCTCTTATTTCAAGCAAAAGAGCATAAAGACCATATAATTTTGGATGTACTGTGATTTACCTATCATATGAAACCAGAAGTATCTTCATTATTTATAAAACGTCTTAAATCTATTGTTTTTTAATCAGTATGAAATAAACTATCTTCTCATTTTGAACTAACTTTTTAAACTAGAACATAATTTTTTTTTTTTACAAATTTCCTTATAAAATATGAATTTCGAGTAGTAGAAAGACCTTCAATATTTTTCTCTTAACATTTTTTTTTTAATTATGTCAATACTTAATAAAAAAATAGGATGAGTTTGTTAATTGCCTTTTCCTCATAATAATCATTTGGTCTTTAATTTTCTTCCCCTAAATGTACATTGTATGCCAAATATTTGCATGAAACTGTTGTTCATAAGGATTAAACCATTGTCATTGCCAGACAACAATTTTTGTGTTTTATGACTGTATATGCTCTCCATGAAAACGTTACAAAAATGCATAGGAATATTAAACAATAATTCAGCAAAAGAAATCTCAATTCAACTCTTTATTTCCCTGTTTTAGCATTTCAGAATAGAAACAAAAGCTGATTTACGATAATAACAACCACCCTCCCCCCCCCCCCAAAAAAAAACACGCTTTTGAGCTACAGTTAATATATAAAATACAGAAGTGTTTGTAGTTAATGCTAATTTTATTCTTAAATGGTCTAAAAAGAGTTATAAATAAAATATTATTGTTATCGGATATGTAGGATTTCGGGCCCCACCCATTCATACGAGCATAGTTTAATTATACGGTCCATACAAATACATTTATACGAAATCACCTTAATCTAATAGTTACAAAAATTTGTGAATATATATAGTTTCTGGTTTTGATAAATATATTTTCACAGTCAAGAAAAAAACAAATATTTAATAAAAATATTAGATGAGAGTTACGACAACTATAAAAACAACTTTGTACTATTCAACAGAATAACTTTGAACTAACTGTCAATGGAGGGCAAACTATCTATGTACCATTGTCTATACTATTTGACGTACTGCCTATATTTGTAAACAAGCATGTAAACTTATATCATATATCAAACATCGTACGTACCGCCTTGTTTTAACAAATTATTTTACTGCAACAGTTTAGAATCAAGCGATAGCCTCTAACGTACCAGATATATGTTTTTATATGCAAGAGTTGCATGTTCATTCATTTCTATATTATGTATTTGTCTTTGAATTGTCAGTACACCGAAATTTCCTTTATTCATATGACTGAACAAATTTAGAACATATTTTATTTCTAGGTAGATATATATTTCTAAACAATGTATTCAAATCATATTTGCACATACTAATAGCTTGTTGATTAATACATTTACCCATCAAAGAAAATTACACTATTTAAACATTTAAAACGAGTTTGGTATAAGATTAAAAGCACTTTAAAGCAGATCTCTTTAAATTAAAATTGAAATACGAAGATAGAAAAAACGTAAGAGAACTATTTCAAAAGGTGATTCATGTGCGTTGTATGATTGCATTCACATCTTCAAATTAATCTCTTAAATTGGCGAGAGATGATAATGGTTACAATGCTGTCTATGGAAGAGCATATTCGAGGTGCTGATTGAAAAAGGCAATGTATGAGCGGGTCACGTCCATTTAATGCTGTCTTGTTGCAAGAACGATCACTACAGAGTAAAGATTTATGTAGAGGTCATTTGGTTGTTTGGTCAAATTTTTCACGGAACGAACTCTCCTCTAATACAAGACAAACGACAATTCATAGAGAATAAAGTATGAGCAACACGAACTTCACCAAAATCTAGGGTGTGATCTCAGGTGCCCAGAGAGGGAAAGCAGACCCGTCACCTTGCGCATGTTAGTACAAACCTGGGGAATCAATTGTTTACCAAGAGTAGACATTTGGTCGTACACTTTTTCAGAAATCTTATCCTAAGAAACTACAAGACCAATAAAGACCAAACTTGGAATAAATAATACAAGATTCAAAAATATGTCAATAACTCAAATCATTGGATTACTCCTTCAAGGAATATTTTTCATTCATTAGTTACATGATACAATGTCTACAAAAATGCCATTAAATAAACAAGCATTACTGTTGACAACAAATGTAAACAACTTTATTTAAACCTGTTTATTTACTTTTGACCTTAATTATTTATCCCTTATAATTTTTATTCACTAAGTATTTGCATTCAGGTATCACAGATCAAATTTATTCGTTCATTGTGTGTTAATTTACGTTTTTTGATTGAGTTAAGCCTTCCAATTGATATTTTATAATGTGTCTTTCTATGTTGTGATGTTATACTATTGTTTAAGAAAAGGGAAAAGGTTTGGTACCATTAAAACGTTTAATCCCGCTGCAAATGTTTCCACCTGTCCTAAGTCAGGAATCTGATGTACAGTAGTTGTCGTCTGTTTGTGTAGTTCATACGTGTTTCTGGTTTCTCGTTTTTATATAAATTAGACCGTTAGTTTTCCCGTTTGAATGGTTTTACACTAGTCATTTCTGGGGCCCTTAATAGCTTGCTGTTCGGTGTGAGCCAAGGCTCCGTGTTGAAGGCCGTACCTTGATCTATAATGGTTAACTTTTATAAATTGTTACTTGGATGGAGAGTTGTCTCATTGGCACTCATACCACATCTTCCTATATCTATAGATTTCAAAAAGGTATATTTTTACAAGTTAGCATTTGAGCATAGAAGCTCCTTGATCCAATATATTTTATTATCAGAAACTGCTGCAGTTTATATGCACGCATCAACTTTATTCAAAATTATTGCAAAGCTTTGAGGCAAACTCTGCAATAACAACTTCTGTCAGATGTTCGTTGTTCTAGAAGGAAATACTAATTCAAAACTCATAGGTCGAAAAAAATAAACAACGCCATGGCTAGAAAAAGACAAACGAAAAAAAAAA